TTCATTCAGGACGTTCGGCAATCCTTAATTCCCCCTCTGCCGCATCATTCGGTTTTGGGATGGGCGATTGCGATTGAAAGATTACAAGCTTTATTCCCGAATTGGCAGACGGATTTTCAGAATTCCCAGGCTAAACTTCGACAGAAGGAAATGGCATCCCAGGTCGAAGATACATCTCATCGAGATTTCCAAGGCATCTTAGCTCCCCAGGACCAATTACGCCTTCGATCTTGCACGAGATGCTGGACTGATGGATGGGTCCGCTGCGCGCCCAGCCATACATTCGATAATTGTCTCTCCAAGATTATATTTTCAGACTCAATATCTGAGCGATTTGGTTTGCCCTTATTTGATGCAGATGAGTTTTGCTTGCGATATCCTCAAGCCTCGGATCGATATGGTCGCCATTGCTTGCCTTGTGTCATAATTGGAAAAACGGGGTTGCATAATTGCATCCGTGATGAGGTTTGCCGCTTTTTATCTGGAGGAGGACTTGGATTGAAAATAGAATCCTTGAGATTTCTCCCCGATGAATCCGATAGGAGACCCGCTGATCTTCTTACGATTCCTTCCGCGTTATGCCGTCAATCATCATGGCATTTTCTTCNNCGCGGATTGCAATTGATTTTGTGGTTGTCTCCCCATTTCGGATGGCAAGAGGTCACTTGGCTACGGAGGACCATATTCCAATAAAACGGCTCAACCAAGCTGCCCATGTCAGGTGCCGCGAGCAAGAGATTGGATTTGAACCGATTGTATTTGACTACGCAGGGGGTATAAATGAAGAGGGTAAGAGGATTCTGGATTCGTTGTATAAGGCGGTCGATGGTCCGAATGGACGTCAAGCCGTACGCACACGATGTATGATATAGGAACGAATCTCCATTGCCCTCCAACGCTATATCAATCATTGCCTCATATATAGACGAGCGGGTTCTCCAGGAAATCTCTATTCTTTGCTCCTAGAATTCGTTTTTAATTGATTCTCCTCCCAGAGAATTCTCTCCCTATGCCAATGACTCCTTACGCCATATTACCCCTCAACGCAAGTTGACCAATTAGTTTTTGGAAGATCTTTTGGGCATAGATCTCATTGAGAAATTATTCGTGTATTGTCTCTATTTCTATCTTTGTCTCCGCGAGATATTGGGTCCCTAGACGTTCGGCGGGTGGGGCGGACTCCAATGCATGGTCCGGGGGCCTGGCATCGTGCGTCTTTCCTGCTTCTACGATTATGCACGAGTTTGCCTTCTTTTCTAGCTTCTAAGGCCAATCCAATTCTCCCTTTTGATACGTCTAAATAATAGAGAGAAAATAAAATCCTACTTCCTCTTCAATAAAGAGAAAAGAGATCTAAATCATCTTGAATAAAATAGAAGCTTCATATCTTCATAAAATTTCTTTCTATGAAGTTCAATAAATATAATTTAGAATAGAATTTTATCTATTTCAATATCGAGAGAAGCGAATAAATTAGAAATATATTTCCTAGATTCAATCTATTAGCGTTATAATCTTTTCCTAGATTTAAGATATTAATCTTTTTAAGCATTTCTCCCTCTCGATACCGTCGCACATAATATCATTCTTTTCCAAGGGGATCTCGCAAAACCGCATGGATTTCTAACGGCCTGGTTCTCCATTGAAATCGAAATATATTCTATAGAAAATTCTCGATTCAATTCCTGATAGATATATTTCATCATAATTCATCATTAGCAAAAATATCCTCTAGAAATTAAAGAATTATTGGACCTCAATTTTCGAAAATTGATCTTATCTAAAAAAGATTCTTGAATCGTAATCTATTCTAGGATCTTCCCTTAGAATTTCAGGCCTGTTATTGTGGCGTCATCAATTTTCAGCCCTAACGTATTTGCAATCATTGCCTAGCGAGGATGGATGCCGGGCGTACACCTCAAGAAAACGTCGCAAGGACTTGTTTAGGGCAGCATTACATCAAAGCCGAAATTGCACTTCCTTTAAAAGCGGGCCTTCACCTTCATTTTTTCCTGATGAGGCGGCTCTACGGTAGCCCTTCTAAGCGCATGACACCGGATTTTCAAATCCCTGGACAAATTGCTACCTTATATTGAGGTCTATATTGGGGTCCTGTTATTTATGGAACCTCCCATGCCCTACTATTGCTATTCCTTATCTTGGAGGAGTTTGAATATCAACCGTAGTAAAGCTAGAATCTTAGGTCATCTCCAGGACTAGTCAGGGAGTTCCATAAAAAAGATTTAATGGTTCAACCTGACCCTATTTAAGCCCAGAGAAGTGCCATCAAAAATTCAACCCTAAACCCTAACCGCAACTCCAACACACTCCTTTAAGAAGTTCAGACTACAGCTCATACGGATGTCTCATATCGGAATCACGGCCTCCCCCTATGTTTGGCGCCAATGCACAATCTTCAGAGTTTCGCACAGATATGAGAAGCCCACTATTCCACCAAATTGAAGCCCTATAAAACACCGCCATGCCCACGCAACACCTCGAGAGCAAAAATCCTACTCCAAGAGACCGCATTCATGCCTCCTCGTTTGAGGTGCGTGATTCGCATCTCGGCGCGGGTATCGGCCTAAGAGGGTGTGGCCAACCAACGCTTGAACTCCATGACAATCTTCAAATATCTTCAAATGGCCTCAATTTTTTAAAGCTAAGGCAAGGTTCGCGCGCCAGCTGTCACGGGTAAGCGTGGTGGGTGACTTATGGCCTACTTTCTATCTTCCAGCGCAGGGAGCATTTTTTTCGGCATGAAATAAGCTCTTGCCGTGGTTTGTGAGAGCCGCTGCGAAGCAACAGCTGGCAACTCTGTTCAACCTTGCAAGACTTGGCTGCGACAAGCAAAAGCGGAACAACCTGGCAATTCTTATTTCGGACAATGGTGCCCTCCCCGTACGTAAGCACTAAATCTGAATAGCAGCATTAAAAAATCCAGGTATTCAAATTTACAACTTGAGTGCTCCCCAAAAGGGGATTGGCCTACTAAAAATGTCCTGTATCACCTACTTAGCAAGTCCCGTGAACCTCTGAGAATGGCCAGTGCTGAGTCTCCAGTTGCGTTGGAATCATCTCGGCTGAGGGTTGCACAGACGAGATCCTTGGGCCGTTTGCAATTACTGGGTTGGCCCCTAAAACCTTTTGAAAAATTTTAGTATATAGGGTCCCTTATTAAAGCCATGAGGGAAAATGTTAAATATCCCAGGGGCCTACCCAGATTAGCGTGTGGGAAATGGTGGCAAGTGCCTTACGCAATGAGCACTCGAACTTAGGTGTCCAGAATCCAGGGTGTGTCCAAGGCTCATCTGTGTATTCGCATGGGTTTCTTATTACCCGAAAAACAGTCTACCGGACATTCTTCAACAAGCGCAACGGGCTGAACTTGTCCAAAGACACATGACTCATATCTCCTGATTCCTCGCGCTTGGTCAGCCATCTGTATACCTACGCCCTATGCCATCAAGTAGGCAAAGCTGACCATGATGAAGGAAACTAAAACATGATGAGTCCAAGCAACATCCAGACACTCGCCGATATAGGCGCTTTGGACAGAATAACGCCACATAACTAGTCAAACCGGTCATTCATTCGGACGTAAACCGAAAACATTCTCCTTATCTACCTGAGGAAAAGATAGTCATCTTCCAATCCGCTATAAACACTTCTTAGTGAGCAAGTACAGTGTAGCCCCGAATGTGCTTGGGATGCAACATGAAGCTGTGAAAGGATGCCCATCTACGTAGAGCCTTGCCGACGTAACTCCGCATAGAAATTGTAAACAATGCTAACATGTTCTGAGGTGCCTTGGTGCACAAGTCAAGATTGAAATCTACTTTCCAGAGCTGCGCCAAAAGTGAAAAAATCCAGAGCGCCCTCGACCCCGCGCCGCACATCCCCAAACCCTAAGCCCTAGACTTCCCGGAATACCCATACATGTCAACCCTCAAACCCTAGATTGACCGCAAACCCAAAACCCGTTAACCCTAAACCCATTACGTAACCCTAAACTCCCTAAACTAACCTTGGTCTAGGCGTCTCGTCGGCAGCCTTCCGCCGTCGGAGGTCGAGCTCTTTTCTGCTCAGGAGCCTGCTGCTGCAGGGTGGGACTTCCTGGGGCTAGTAGGGAATTAGGGTTTAGGGTTTGGGGTTTAGGGTTTTGTGCTTATTGAATATATTATGTAGGAATTATATAAGGATTAAATTCCTTTTTTCACCACTAGGCCCCAGTAAGGTGATGTAGGGGCTAGGGTTTACTTTAGGGTTGAGAGATTAGAGCTTCGCGTTAGGGTTTAGGGCTATATAAGGGTAGAAATGGATATCACCAATGATTTTCAATCAGCTGGAGTTTTAAAATGGACAATGACATGGAAGACTGGTTTATTGGGGCTTTACAGGGGTAATTACCAACATTATGGTCCTAGGTTCTTTGTGCAATTCTGGTATAGAGTGCTTCAAATAAACCCCAACATGGGCCCGGATGACCAGAATAGCTTGATTTACATTCACATTGTGTACGGCGTACGCTTTTTCAAACTTACTCCCGTCAGTAACGAACTAGTCAATCTCCAAAAGAAGGGTTTGAGATTATAGTTCGGCGTGAGGAGGCTTGCTGAATTTAGAACTTGGATCTTCGTTATAGGTTCGAGTTCCCGGAAAATCCCGTCACTTCGAGATTGCACAGACGATGACGGGACTCCTGCACTAATTATGCCCACCGGAGTGCGCAGGAAAGGCTTTGGGACTGGGGTTTGCGGAGCTGAGGAAATGGACTTGCTTCTTTCATGTAAGGAGCTTGAGCAGGGTCAAGCAATGCCGGACGGTTCAAGCATACTTTGTAGGGAGTTTAGGGATTTGCTGGAGATGTATGGATGCAAGTGTGTGGGGCTGTCAGAAGGTAGTTTCGTTTACCAAAACCCCTCAAGTGGATAAACTAACTGTCCAAAAACCTCCAAAAACAGCCCAAACGGCCAGTATTATACATACTTCAGGGGTTCAGGGAGGGCTTGATGACTTTGGTGGACTTTACGCAGGGTTCCAGGGTTCCGCGGCCAGGCTAAGATTTAGGCATCTGGCCCCTCACTGGGTCCTAGCATAGTGGAACTTAAGTTTTAGCTTGGCAAAAGAAAAAATATATGGGGTTTAGGGATTAAGGTTTAAGCTAGGGAATAGGGTAATATATCATATATAACGATTATATACGAACCCCCACTAGGGCATGCTCTTTCAAACAACGCCCTCCCAGATTTTGACTTGCTGCTTACGATCAGGGAATGGTCGAGGGTTGGCTGCGTGAGCGCCAATCGATGCGCTTGGTCGGTACACAGCAGTGCAATAACCTGGGTTGCTGTTAAGGGACTTAAATTAAGTTACCATAATGGGCATGTATAGTAAATAATAGGGTTTCCCCAAAATAGTAACTTAATTTAAGTTCCTTAACAGCAACCCAGTAACAGTCTATCCTCAGGAGGTGAACATTTCTAGGCGTAACGTTTGCAATGGACGATGCTTATCTCGTAAGTCCAGCCATGTGCACCGTTGACCGGCGGCCTGCAGCAACCCTACAATAGAGTGGTTGGGATCCCATGTACTTTCGAAATTGCCATCGTAGTCTTGTTCTAAGGCCTCCCCAAAGGTGACCCGCAAGTTTTGCTACGAGTCCTGCGTAAGCATAATCCGAAGACCATCGGATGTGATGAGGTTCGCGCCCCGCAAGGGAAGGGTGGTAGGCAGTCTGGATGATGACCTCTACAGGTGTACGAGGACCGGGCATCTACCCTTCAATAAACAGGTCTAATATGGGGCCTGCTTGTGGGTTTTCGGTTCTATGGAGGGTACCTGGGGTGTGTAGATGGGGTGGAGGCTGCGGGGTTCAGGAGTCTTGATCGCAGGGACCCATGCGGGGTTTCTCAAAATGTGGGGTTTTGGGAACCCTCAAAATATGTGGGTATAAGTGCATTGAAGGAGTACCTGGGTCCTATGGAACTTTCTGTCTCCGTCGGTCGTTCTGTCTGGCTGCGTGTCCCCCATGGTAATCGGCAAATGGCACATGGACATGCGAGATTCAGAATCTGAAGCATGTGTCCGTACAAGGTGCTATGCCTTGCACTCGACATGTAGTGCGACAGGACACTAGACCCTAAACCCTAAACCCATACGAATGAACTCGCATGTGTAGGCGGTAGCCCTCAAAATTCCGGATCCCCTCTTCGCCTCGATTTGCACAACAAAGCGCGCAAGATGAAACCTAAAAAGCTCCCCTAAGGAAAAGCTCACCTTAAGTAGGTAGACTATGGCTTTGTGTATGTTATAATAAGACCCCCATATACCCCATATGCTGTCTACTTAAGGTGGACTTTACCTGCAAATCTGAAATTCCTAGTATAGACACTGCCAGAACCGATCGATCAAAGCCTCACTTTGGTCCGCACTCGCCGTACCCTAAGGGTCCATGTACTTTAAAACTCATATGGGTGGTTGGAAAAATTATGGTCCCTTTTTGGGTGCCCTAACTATTAGGTGCCGTACTATAATAGGGATCCAAAAAGGGACCATGATTTTGACAACCACCCATATACTTATCCAAAACCTGTACGACAATTACCATTACCAAAATCCAAACTGTAGTCTCCTTCGACCTATGATAGAAAATAGGTTTAATGATTCCCCAGGGTTATACTATAACAAGAATTTAAAAATAATTCCTAAAGAGACTACAACAAAGTACCTAATTATTGGGTGCTTGGACCCTTAGGGCTAGGGTTCACTTCCTTGAGCCCCCGTCCCTCTTCCATGACCGGTCAAAATCGCAGGTATCTTTGTGTCAGTCGCTCAAGACAAGGATCATGTGGGTGGCATGTTACTCAGAATGCTATGGGTTACTCAGAATGTTATGGGTAAACGAAAGCTGACTAAATAACTACCAATATCATTTTGAGGTCCACTGGAAGTACCATAGACCATAATTATGTAAGAAATATGGAACCATAATATTGGCAATGAATTAGGACCCTATATTGATGAAAGCCAATAACAGTTAGAAAGCATCTCGGAAGAGCAGGGCATTCAATCAAAGTTCATACCGGTGCCTAGGAACGTTAAAACGTTTTTCAGCCATGCAGCGAAGTGTCAGAGCATTCAAACACCGTCTGGGCCAATATGCAAACCCAAACCACACACACTTATACAGGATGGCATCAAAAACAAAAGCAACAATAGCTCGCAATACCTTCTTGCATAACCTACGCCTAAATCCCAAATCATCTGACTCGCCTCCGGAGAGCAATCCGGCTGCCACTCCTCCCGCGGGGTCCGACAGGCTACTGGTTTACAAGGGAGACAAGGATGTGCGGTTTCTCAACGTCGGACGCAAGAGGGTAGGTTTAGGTTTTACATTTGGGCCTTTCTTGGGACCCAAAGGGATACTGTGGGTCACATCAGGGGATCGCTCCAAATCTCACTTTTTACATGAGGCACCGGCGGGTAAGCTCTGGCTAACTGCAATCAGTACCCAAAGCCCATACTAGCAGAAGCCATTGAAACACAGAAATTCCTCCACCCATGGAGACGTCCGGATGCAGTGGCCTGCATCAAGTGAATTAAATCGTCATGGGACTTCACCGACCTCAGAGTCCATGACATTCTGTAGGATATAGGGTCCCGAGGCTTGTGCTACACTGAGGCTTTGGGGAAAGTTGAATCCTAGGCTTCCAAAAATTCGTGTTCCTGGCCACATGTGCAAAGGAGACTGGGCTAATGTTATTGCCGTGAAGCGCTAGATGTTGGCAGTATAGGGATTGCCTTCTGTTCCAATGAGATCACACCAACTCTTGCTAAGAACACGGCTGCAGGTCAGTGTTGGGTGTCCCTATCAGTAAACAGCCTTTCAGCCAGTTTGCGTGACAAGCGGCACATCCTGTCTGCAACGCACGACCGGAATATCGATGTTGGGTTTCCCTGTCTGCAAACATGGGTGGCTGAAGTTTTTCCAAATCGGACGCCGCTCAAAGGCTAGTCAAATGTACAAGTATGAGCCCAACACTGACGTTACTTCAGCTTGCAGCATGTGGGACGGATTAAACCACGACACACAAACTCGACAAGAGGATCTGGAAAATTCGGCGACTAGCCGCAAGGTGCTGATTTCAAAGCCGGAGCCATCTTTCTCTTGCACTCTCCATCGTAGCTCGAAACATGTCGAAACGTGTAGCACTGAACCCTCAGCCGGAATTTCACGCCAGCTTAGCAGCATGCACCTTGCCAAGCTGAGGCTTGGGCAGAATTGCTTTCTCCTGCAGTGCAAACCTAAGCGCCGGTGGGGCTTCGGGTTTGGAGGAACAAGTCCTCCACCCACCAACTGTCTTCGCGCCTATGAGCGAGCGAGTGACTACATGCATGACAGGGATCAGTAAATCGGTAGACTTCCACAGGAATCCAGTCACTCTTTTCGTCTAATACATCCCCTCCTCCTGATGTTTAAGGCCCCGACCCCCATAACATGCAGTGGCGCCATGGAGCTATTACGAACGGGGAAGTCTTGAAGTATGGTCCTCATACTATTGCTTTTAAGTCGCGCTCGAGCTTGACAGCTCACAGCGCGTTTGAGGCAGAAGTGGAAGCGAGTGCAACCACAGTATACTATAAACCCTAGGGGGGTGGGGGGGTTTCATATTAGGGGGAGGGGATTACTAAGCACCGCTGCTTAAGGGCAACGGGAAGGTATGCCAGGATCCATGCCGGTAGATTTTTCGGGGTGGGGTTAAGTTTTTTTAAGGGTTTTAGGTCTAGGGCTTATGGGTTTAGGGCTTTGGCTTGGCAACTTAAATAACATGGCTTTTTCAAAGGCTATGCAGCAGCATACATCCACAAGAAATGCGAATTCATAATAGCAATATTAGCAGCAATCGTGATAAGTGATGAAAACGATAAGCAATGATAATGCTAGTAACAGTGCCGGGGCTCATGTTGAACCACGGGACGCTTTCGAGGGACCTCTGAGAAAGGTAAAGCAGTGAGCCGGACATCGTCGAATTGACGCCATCCGTTTGAGACTGTGCGTGGACCAAACTGAGACCATGTGTGAGGGGTTTTGCTTCTGAGTGGTACGGCCTTACCAAACACCCTCAACATGCTAATAAGGGCTGACCAAAGGCTCTACACACTAAACTTACTGGTTGTTTAGTAGGGAACAAGGGAATAAAGTCCCAATATAATCCCTACATGATATATTCCTTTATTCCCTACCTACCCCCCGCAGATATACCACGCAGGACGACTGGGCTCAATGCAAGGACAGCGAAATTCTGAAAACGGCCTCCCAGTGGCAAGCATCAGGTCGTAAGGCCGACATAAAGGGGCATAGTCTAAACGCCTTTAAAGCGGTTCTATGGGGGATTATATACGGGACTTGAATCATGGAAAAGAAATGGAAACTACTATTAGGTTTAGTAGGGTTTAGGGTTAGGGTTTAGGTCTAAACTCCTAGTATCCCGCCTTTACAAGCCCTAGCATTCCCGTTATAAGCTCTGTGCTACGGTGGATATTAAAAATCTTGCATGATCCTGGGTCCCTTAAAGCTTGGGAAATATGGTGCATTATGGTGCTATAATATAATAAGGTCATGGAAGGTATCTAGTTCAACAGTCGGAACCCTATATCATCCCTTATGTATCCCCTTGAAGGAAGTTAGAGCATGGTTCATATGGGGCCCGTGTAAGGGCTGGCAGCACTCGATAGCAAGACATGTGAGGGTCGACAACAAGGCTGCCCCGCCAGAAATCACTGGAGGAAGGGATGTCCGCAGACCACTGTAATTCCTCACAAACATGCCCTCCGGATCTACACCGCATGCGGCAGTAGGGTCAAGGTCAGTCTCGAGGGCCGTAAATGGAGGTAGGAGATGGGAACGCTCCAAGAAATATACAATGTTCGACAAGCACAAGCTCGCCTCCACTCCCCTTACCCTCTAATGTCCACCTTCGACCACGACAGCGGCGATGACTACGTGCGCATCTATCTCCTCTTACTCCTAATCCTATCCCGCCCGCAGCTACTACAGCTATTGCTGCTGCTCCTGATGCTGCGAACTGCTACAAGTGGCCGTTAGCTGGTGCTACTACTGCTCCTCCTGCTCTAGTTCCTGTTCTGCTGCTGCTCCTGCTCCTGCTCTTGCTCCTGTTATTGCTAGTGCTATTGCGACTGCTACTGCTGCTGCAACGACCACTACAGGTGACTGCTACTCGTGAGGACCGTAACAAGAACAACCAAAAGCATTCCTACCACTTCATGGCCAAACTTACAGGAAACTCCTGACCTTCAAATACGCTCAACCGCAGTCCGTGGGTTCACCTTCTTGTGCCCTGCACATCAGGGGTCGGAAAGAGTTTAGGTCCAGCCTCAATTCCGTCCCCCAGCAAGACGTCCCAAACGCGGTGCAAGGCCTGCGCGCCCCAGAAAGACCACTACCCCCAGACAGACCACTACCCCATGATTGAAGAACGCGACATCAGAAGGGCGAATAGAAGCCTTGACGTGTTTGGGTGTTTTTCGGGCTCATGTTCAGAATCAAAATACGAGCCATAGTCTTAACTCGTTGTATCCCGATTAATATCCCCCATACTAATTTTCAATAATAGTTCCCTATAAAACCCCCTTTAAGGAGTTTAGACTATAGCTATAGCTCGTATGATAGGATCTCCACTAATCTTTCAGCTACGGGGTGTGTTGGGGGTCCCTGGGTGCGCCATGAAACTCGATAACCAAGGTTGCAAAGTGATCAGCAGGGGCTATATATGGGTAGTTCCCACATTAAGGTCCAGTTTTGGTACCCCTAAATATTAGGTGCCGTAATATAACCTATAACTAAAAGGGGCCCACTAACTTGAGAACAGCCCATATGGATTGTGCATGTTGCTGCTACCAGACTGATTAGGAGCCTCCTACTTTGGAGGACTAGGAGAGACTAGCCATGCTGAGTAGACATGCAAAGCTCCTTAGAGTGGGTTATATAGGGCTGCCAACGCATTTGAGTCTATACATGTACTCACATATCCTTGAGCCTGGCGCTATGCGAAGGATGTTTTGATACTTGGCCCCGTCAGATGGCGGCTTCTTGAGAATTTATGGCAGGCAGTTTAGCGTTTTCGGTTTTCTCCAAAACCGTGGTCCTTTACTTTGAGACCCTAAGGATCTAATCACCTTCCGCAGTTCTTACCTCTGGCACTAACTATTTCCTGACCTGTAATATATCATGGTACTGATTTGGTTGTATCCATTATCACGTCTTCCGGGGCTGTCCTTAGGGGCGGGCAGTGTATACGTATGTACATACGTTATCAGGGGAGAGAAGGGGTCCCTCTAAGGTGTTGTATGACGAGCAGGCCCCATGTATAAACGCGGTCCTCTCGGCAAGTACCCCGGCAGTTCACTCGGCATACTTGAGGCTATCAGGAACTATCAAGAAAAGCATTCCCTGTTACAAAAGGACATGAAGGTTCAGGGTGCTGCAAGAGGCGTTGACATACTAGAAGATGAGGCCAATTTGAAGTCTTGTCCTGCTGTTGGGACCTCTATTGAGAGCAAAGGGCGTACTCCCTCACCCAAAGTCTGTTCTGGCGTCTAGACTCTCATAGGCTCTGGCAGACTCACCACCCCATGAAACGCTAAACCCTACACCCAACCCCCATGCACCCTACAACCTCGAAATTTCAAGACCGTGTACCTTGAACCCTGAACGCGAGGCATAGAAGATCACGGAGGGCCTCATCCGCCAGGGTTGCCGCAAACAGGCACAGGAACCTTGGGCTGTATGTGAGCTATAGTCTAAACTCATAGCATCCCCCTTCGTAACCTCTATACTGCTCCCCTGTAGAATCCCCCTGCAAGAAATTCTGGACTCGCCTGGGCACCCTTGATCTGAGGAATTGTAGCAGCTAATTATGGGGGAGGCCGTCTCAACTTGGGGAATCCAAAAACCAAGCACGCCCGTTTGCACTGCTTACGAAAACAGTACGTAGGAGCGCAACAGAAACCAAGTTGAGTGGACCTCGATTTCTGAAACCAGGCTACATGCAAGGAACTACTAAAACCAATGCAACTGACATTCGCACATGCCCCAGAGCATGTACGACTTGATGTCCCGCTATAAGAAGGGGATTCCGGCAGGTCCAACCCCTGTAGGATAAGAATTGTAGTAGAATGATTTTAGTATGAAGGTCATAGGGTCCTTGATTGGGCGCTGGGGTTACCTACATCCCTTGGTTGAACTAGTGCTCTAACCTATTGCTCTTGCAATGTTTTAGTGTCAGCAATTGGCAGCGTGCTCCACGCTGACATGGTGCGCGCACAAGGAGCAAGGACCTTCAGAAAGGACCTCCAAGATGAAGCATGCATGCAGAATTCTGGCCCGTGGTGGAAGGATGAAGATTTGAGATTCGGAGACACGAGAATTGCAAAATCCGCCCCTGGCATCCCGACACTAGGCCGATCCAAGCGATGTCTGCAAGATACTCAGGAGGTTCCAGTCCCTATGTCCTGAATTTATACCTATAACAGCCATTTCACATCCTCGCAATAAGAATCACCACCAGACCTGCCTCGGCTGAAGGGCTTCCCAGTCCCTCTCAGCATCTCTGTTGTCAAGCCAAGGGGCCACTTGGACGTGACGAACAGAAAGTCGAACCTTCCACGGCCAGGCCCAAGCACTCACACAAATCACAACCCGTCGGGTACTAATAGCAGGAAAAAGAATAATGTAAATACCAATAGTAACAATACATATGATAAACGCAAACTAAGAGTGGCCCTTAAGGCCAGGAACTTTCCCTCATTGAAGTCTAAGGTAAGCAGAATGCGAAACATCAGTGTTATCGATCATGGCAGCAAAAAACGGCAATAGGATACCCTAAACCCTAAAACCGGGTTTCCCCACCTAGTCAGTCTAGGCTTCAGTATTATGGACTTGTCGTTGGGTTTCCCGCCATGGAACTGCTCTTCCTATTGCTATCGTTTACTCATACAGAAGGTCTGGCTACGTCCAAAGCTCTTAACATCACTAACATCGCAGACGGAGGTTCCAAAACCATGGGTCTCCCTTTTCTCAAAAAAAAACCGGTGTTCTCTAAGCACCCCCACCCCCCCAAAAGCGGCCCTTAATTTTTGGACATCCTAATCCCTCAAAACCGCGATATAATCCCAGTTTCCATTTCATAGTCCACTTGGTTCTCAACTCTTGGAGTAGCATCCAGCCTTCTGCAGAATACACCCATGTTCAGTGTCCAACCGTGAAATAAGGGTTACATGATGGAGGCAGGAGTCCTCACCACAATGAATGTCTAACTTTTGTAATGCCACCGTCTATGTCTACATATCTGTGTATATATATATATGTACATATATGTATGTATAAATGAGCATCCTAAGGTTCATGGCCTACATTGGCGCAGGGACAGACCTGATCTGCATCTCATGACCCACACTAAAGGGTTAAGGGTTTCGTGTCAAGGGCTTTTGGTTTTGGTTGCAGGGAACTGTAGTGCTGCAATTGCCGGCGTTGCTTGGGATCGCTTCCTAGACATGCAGAGCTTTGCGCAAACATTATGAACACCTGCGTTCATTTGCTACAGCACCCGGTTCAGGGGCACAAGATATGATAACTCACGTAAGCCAGCAGCCCTCCAAAATAGACATTGGCCCGGCATTTCATCCAATGTGCTGAAACTTCATTTTCTACTCTTGCACCCAGGCTTTACGTACGTTTCATCGTTGAGCACAGTAAGTTCAAGGCGCCTGTGCTGTGCGAGGACACTGTGCACGGCGGGCAGCCGTTCCCGGAGCATCTCCTATCGTGACGAATTCTTTTTGAGATTTTGTATCACGTGTAGTGTGCAGCACTGCCACTATCTGGGAAGTCCAAGGCCCCAATACCTGCAGATGCCCATGAGACAGCTCCAGTTAAAGTGTTCTACAAGCAGTGTTAGAGCGAGCAGGTGCGGACGTGGGACTACGGCAGCAGCCCTACCCTAGTTTTCATTTCATGGTCCTTTGGATTCTCCATTACACAGGAAGAATGGTGGGGGGTAGAACGTTGCAGCAATGATTCTGACCTCCAAGGCCTGTTGCCTTGTCCGAATTTCTACCACAAAATGAAAGGGGCCGGACAACCAGCGCTTTTGATATTAGCTGTACGTGCATGAAAGCGAGACTATTCGCTGGCGTTGGGGTTTAAGGGCAAGAAGCCTTGTGAAAGTACAATGGGAACGCTGTGCAAACTACCCCCCTGCACCTTACCGATGGGCGTTGGATTCCAATTCTCAAGTAAGGCCATGGGCGACAGAAACTGGGTTGCTGTTAAGGCTTTGAAATAAGGTTACTATAAAAAGATATAAAAAGGAAACCGTTTCATTTACGATTTTTCATATCTTCGTGTTGTGGTGACTTTGTTCAACTTCCTGAACAGCAACCCAGGAAAACGAATTCCAATTCCAGGGACATCCCTCCCTCGCCCAAAACAAACGATCTACTGCCCGCATCACCAGAACTAGTCGTGGTAAGGAGCTCGAATATAATTGGGTTACCATAATGTGGGTATGTAGTAAATAAAGATGTTTCCGTATTATGGTAACTTAATCAAACTTTCTTAACTGCAAGCCATCAAGGTTCAATGTTCGTTGCAGATGGATATCCAGCCCCAAGCTAACGCAGAACCCACTATAAAACAACTGTCCGCTTAAAGCAGACTTCATGGGGTTCTATGTAAGTATCGGAGTAATCCCCACGATAGTACGATATGTCCCCGTGGTATCCTTGCATGTGATATGCCTTCTATATGTGTGTGTATATGTGTGTGTATGCATGATTATATGTACATGTATTGATGACACCCTCTGGGTTAAGCTTGGGTGAGGGTACATGAAGCCCAATGCAGAGAATTCGGAGTCCTCAAGAACTGTCGTGTCCGCGCCTGGGTTTTCTGCAGCTCGAAAGCAGCAAGAATAAGACGCTGCGTGCGGGCAGGGATGGAGAGAGAGCAAGAAGAGAGGAAGATATGGGAGAGAGGGGAAGGGGGGACCGACGGACGGAGACGGGGAGAGAGAGAGAGAGAGAGAGCGAGATAAATCGCGCTTCATTGTAGTTCAGATTTCTGGTTGATGAACTGACTATCCACCCTTGTCAAGAGTCATGAGCTTACGTTATCAAACATGGAGGTTCTTCGCGCATGTCTCTACGAAAGCCCCTATACAAGCAGTATATATTTTTCTATACATACATATAGATAAAATGCCTATATTACCCCTATATCATTCCTATATAACCGCATAGAATCCCGTCATAGCCTCTATGCAACCCCAAACTGGATCCCTCTCCACTGAAGGCCGATAGGGCAAGTCAAAGGCTTGGTGCGCAATCCTTTCCCGTAAGAAGAAACTCGGGTTCAGGGATGGTTTAGGGCAGTAGGTGGGGGGGGGGGTCGTTTTTAAATATCAGTATCATTGTTGTCATTATTACCATGAATAGGGTGGTGGGAGTTCATGTTTTGTTAGAGGGGTTATCCTCCTTTCAAGGAACTCCCTTCTCGAAGCGCGTCTGCAAGCAGATCTTTGCCAAGAAGCCTCACATAGCCGAGCGGCAGAAATTGGCCCTTGAACTTTACTAGAAGCAAAAGGTTCTTCATCAATCTGGATGACTTCGGACTTCCACAGATCCTTCGAAAACTTCAGGGGCCAGTAGAAACGAGAGCTCCCCATTTGAGCTATAGTCTAAACTCCTAGTATGCCCCTGATTAACCCCTATAACATTCCCTATATAACCCCCTTTAAGAAGTTTAGACTATAGTACATCTTAATCTAGGGTCCCTGGCAAAACCGAGGGTCTGACGCAGCTGCTTCATGCCGTCCGTATACCACTGGCGCGTCCTAATCGACTTCTAACCCTCACCCGTGAAATTCACCTCCCCCCGCCCCCCCGGGGTTTAGGGCCCCCCCACGCCCCCAATATCAAATAGTCCTCATTTTCGTGTATTCTAGTATTTTGGGAATATTCTATATTAGGGAGTGGGGTGTTTTAATATTAGGGGGAGGGCGAACAATTGGCCAGTGCAGGTAAGCGCGAATGCTTTTGAAGTAGGTAAACATCTAACAAAACACCAGCGTTCGCTATACTCTTAATTTCAGCCGAGTTCTGACATTAAAGTAAGGACGATAGGGGACATCAGCTGAGTGCCACTTAGGCTCTTCCCTACCTAGGTTTCGTAAGTGCTTGCGGTTGTGTGGATCCTTAGCAGGATGGATTCTGCCTTGCTTTGGAGGAGACTTCTTGCCCAAGCTACTTACTGGAGGGAATAGATTATATAGGGGTTATATGGGGATTATCTTCCCTTGTTCCCTACTAACCCCAGGTAAAATTAAATGGACTACTTAAACTCCGCAAAGGTCTTGCGGTTTAGGGTTTCATATGAGGATTTATACTATAGGGTCTTTAGGGCCTAAGGTAAATAAACCCTATCCCAGCTTGTAGTGTAAGGCTTTGGGGTGTGCAGGGACAAGCTTTGGGTCTAGGATTCTGTCAGATGCATCCGAGACCCTTGGGGGAGAGTGACATCCACGTTGGTTCAACCCTTGCTTGTCCTGTAGTCTCTTAGACCAATAATGAAAATGGTATCTTTAATATTTCCTTAGGGTTATACTATGCTAAGAGTGATTCCCAAGGAGACTACAGTCCCCCCGCCTACACCCTAAATCCTAAATCCTGGAACCCTCAACGCTAAACCCCAAACCCTCAACCCCAAACCCTTTCCACCCAACAAAAATCGAGGCTTGAGCTGAAGCTTAGTCAGAAGCTGACGCACTGCAGCCAGTGCCTTGGGGTAGGCTTAAGACCCTTTCAAGGGTTTAGGGTTTAAGGCTTAGGGTTTAAGCTTTGGGGTTTAGGCTTGAAGGGGTCAGTGTTTAGGGCTTAGGGTGTAAGGATCTATAGGCAAATGAGGGATATATAGGTTTAGGGTAGGGCTTAGGGATAATTATGGGGGCTATACATTGGGATATGGAGGGTTCACGGCAAAATAATGGAGAGTTGAACGCAAAAGGAAATGGAAAACGAAATGGAAGCTGGGCTTGTCGAGGGGCTTATTGGGCTTTAGGCAGGAAAATCAGGTTACAGCAAGGTAACATCCTGTAATCTCTTGGAGTTTTCTTTCTATATAACGCTGGTTTCTTGTACCCCATACCCCAGAAACACAGGGCTATTATCTACGTGGCACTTAGGACCTCTACTGAGGGTCCCCCTTAAGTACCTATAATACGAACAGAAGGGTATCCCACAGGGTTAAGGGTCCCAAGGAGTTATCTCATGGTAATGTAGAGGCCAAAAAAAACTCAGGGGTTAAGTAGGGAACCATCTTGGGGCTGTATAGAGATTTTCTGGGGTCAGAATTACTTGGTCCTAAACCCAGAGCACCATTTTAATCTAGGGCTTATACTGTTTTGCGAATCCAAACCAGTGAGTTTGTAACAGGCTTGGGCGGCATTTGAGGCCGCAGGATAAGGTCAAACAAGAAAAAGTCAGGACAAGTGAGCCCTAAATCCTGAACATGTCTGTCTTCTCGAGTGAATCATGCCAGGCTCAGAGGCCAAATGGATGTGTAGATGCACCCAGCCTAAATTGTTCAGCCCTCACCCACGGTTTTAGATCTAGGGGTGTAGTGTTTCACAGGAACCCTACTTGGAGGTTCACAGGCCCAATTTAAACAGGTACCAAGTTGTCGGTTGATAGTTGGGCTATAAGAACAGAAAAATGCCCTCAATCCCCAGCATAGGAATCTGCGAAGCGGCCGGGTCAGGATTGCCGAGGACCATGAGAAAGTTTGCAGCGATGAAATTCAAGGACCTGTGGCGTCTTGGGTCATGCTAGGGTTTAGGGTTTAGGGTTTAGGGGAATCATGACTCCAAGTACATTCTACCTTGGTGATTATGGTAGATTCTGGTACTGAAGTGTAGCACGGTCATGCAGGAGTTTAGTATCAACAGTAGCAAGGATTCAGGAGTTCAACGCCTTGTTTGTCCAGTTTAGGGTTTAGGGTCTAGCGGGTCTGGGTGTTTAGCCGCTTCTGGACCTGGGGATTCTCCGAGCCTGTCCGGTTTTAGGGTTCAGGGTTTGGTGTCGTTTAGCCTGGTCTGCCAGAATCCTTGAGCCTCGAACCGCATGGGAGCCTCGCAGGTGCTTTCATTGTAAGGATACCGGTATAAGATCCTCATACATGAAAAACCCTTTGGATCTTGAATCTAGAGTCGCCCTGTATTTGAGAATCCGTTCCTCTTGCAACAGTAGGTAGTTGCGATGCAAAACCAGACCCTGTTTGCGGCTCGCTTGGGTTAAGGGTTGCGCGTTGCGGATTCAGGGCGGAACGTCTCCTCAGCCGGAAGTGTACTTTCAGAACCTTTCCCCTGCAAACTAGAAATCAACAGTCTCAATGCCTGCTTTGATGCAAAGAGAATATCAGCAGTGGCAGCCGCGGCGTGAACACAGCAATGATACTTACCATACTCCTCGTTTGCGCATCATGTTGTTATGCTACCCTTCCGTCATAATGTGAGCAACACCCCTTTCACGCACCCAGAGAGACCACACAAAACAAAGTTCATAAAACATGCAAATTTGTGAAATCACACATACAAAAGAATCCTAAATCCTAAACCCCAGTTCACATACTAGCTGCCACGTCCTTTCCACTACTGCACTCCATATTTAATGAATCCAGAGACTAACCTAATCTAAGTTGCTTAGCAGCAAGCCAAGCCCTGAACCCAGAGCCCTAAACTAAACTAAGCCCTCAACCCTAAACCCATCGCCCTAAACTAACTCTAAAACCCCAAACCCAGAGCCCTAAAACTCTGAAACCTTAAGCCCAAAACCCTAAACATGAGGCCCGGGCTGACAGTAGCCCAAGTCGCTGTCCTGTCTGGCCAGCTCAATCAAAACCTGAAAAGGCAGTCAGGTGAGCTGACATGAAAAACAAACAGATGTTTGGGGGCCCTTTACGATGAGGACCCAAATGCATTCTGGGATACCAAGAGGGACTCTAGTCGCATATGCAGCAAACTCACTTTCTCTGTTCAAGGTCCGTATTTTATCAGTTTCTTGGGTTGATACTCCTATATGGGGTGTAACACAGTGTAGTGCTTGGGGATTGGTAGGCATATTATGAAAAGCTGGTGTCATCCACAAAATACTAATCCGATGCAAGACTGCAGGATGTTGCCTAGTTTTAACTTGGGAGTTCCCTGCCTATAAGCACCCCCCAAACCCATGAAAGCCAAGTTGCCATTTCATATTCCTTTTTCTTTTTCATTTGCTTCTGCACTACCGGGATAGTATCCCTCAACCCTATACCCTAAACTCCTAAACCCTAAACCCTAACTATACATCCCCTATAACCCGCCTAATTGGTTGGAACTGAATTTCTAACTTGGGATTTCCATGCCAAGGTTAGGGGCTTCACCAGCATGCCCCAGTCAGGAGGAGCTTCTGGGGGAAGTTTAGGCTTTAGGATTTGGGGGATTAGGATTTAGGGGTTTAGGGTTTAGGATTTAGAGACACCACTGCAACCATAAGCGCGAAGTACTGCAGGGGACCCAATAGTTACCAATATCGTTCTGATTGAAGTCTATCTGAAGCACCCTACACTACATTTACGCAAGGAATCTGGGACCGTGATATTGGTCATTTTTAGGCTTCTACAATGTACCCCCAATCAGACCAAGAGCTAGAATAGTGGCGATTCGCGTCACACAAATGCCGAAATTCCAGGTGTGATATCTGCAGCGTCTCAACAAGTCAAGATTCCCTTTTGAGAGTCCCTAAAGTAGGGGCTATGGCTTGGTAAGCCCTTGGAATGCTTAAGACTAGCCACTTTTCCGTGCCAAGGGCTCGGCGGATTCTGCACTTTTCCATGACCAGGGCTCGGCGGATTCGGCACTTTT